AACCACGGCAGGGCTCTCTGCAGGCTTCCCCCACAACCCCGCACCCCTGGCACTTGTGGCTGGCACCCCAAGTTATAACAACTTACTGTTGCTGCGGGATTTTTCCAGGAAAGGGCCGTGAGCTGGCTCAGTCGCTTTCCTCTTGTATGTTTTGGTGACACGGTCCACATCTGGCTGCTTCCGGGTCATCTCTTCCATGAAGGACTGGAAGGAGAAAAGATGCAACAGTTTGCAAATGTCCAGCTACTTTTCCCAGCCCCCCTTTTGGAACATTAAAGCTCAAAGCCTCATCAAGAGGCAACGGTTGTGGCATTGCCGCTGGCAGTGTCTGCCGTCCATGGCAGGCACTGAGCACTTTTGGCGCTTGCTGCCATCAATGCATCCAATGGGAAGGACAGAGGCTGCTGTCCTAGAGGGAGGGGCCAGGAGAACCCAGGGACGGCCGTTACCTGATGCTCCGCAATGAGGGCCTTGACCTGCTCGATATTTTGGGGCTCCTGCTCCCGCTGGATCAGCGTGGTCTCTGCCCACTGGATCCACGTCAGAAGCTCTTCCAGCAGTTCCGCATTGGCCATGAGTTCCAGGAGCGCCACTTCAAGCCGCTGCTGATGCTGCTTCGCCCACGTGAGAACCTGGAGGAGAAACAGGCCAAGACAAAAGACTGAGAGGCAGAGAAGGTTGTGCGTCTGGGTGAAGGGTGAAGACGGAGATCCGGAGCTGATTATTCCACAGGTGCAGAACACCCCACAATTAACAAAAGGAACCCCTTCAGCCACCACAACAGGCCCAACTCATGTCCACACGGCAACTCACTTCTTCGAATCGAGCACGGATGATGGTGATCCAGTGTTTTATGGTGGTGACGCAGTCTGGATGGCACACAGACAGGATGATCTCTCCCATCCCCACCGCCGAGTTCACATCCAGCCTTTTCTCCTCCACTTTCTTCATGAACTCCTGCACAAGGCAACGCAAAGGCACCCACCGTTACCCGCAGCCCCCCTGCCCTGGCCCACCCTGCATCCATGGGATCACCGCCCACCTTATGCACATCAATGAGCGACTGCAGAGCTTCCGTGTCATCGGGCAACGCTCCCCGGAAGCGGAGGGTCTGCTCGGCCTCCGAGAGCCACTCCAGCAGCTGGTGGATGGCGGTACGGAACTCCTCAGCCTGAAAAGCAGAAGCCCCTCAGTCAGTCCTCCACCTCTGCAACTTGCCCCTCCGGATGGGCCAAACCGGTCAGCAGCACCCAGCCAGATGTGCCCTGGAAGTGTCATGCCCAGGACTCAGACTCTGGAGAAGTTTCTCCAGCTGAAGCCGTGGAATGTCAGCCTCAGGAGACTCCAAGGCAGGAGTCACTGGATCAAACAGAGGCATCCTCAACACAACTGAAACAATCCTATGATGACATGGCCTCCAAGCCCCTGATACTCAGTAGAGAGGAGAGCAGAGTAGGGATACTCAGTGAGGCTCCTTGCCAAGCAGGGAAGTAACTCTCCTGATTAAAGACTGATTAAAAAGGCAGCCCTCACCCATCTCACTCTGCTGTAAGCAACCGTTGGATCTCCTGCTCTGGTGTATGATTCTGTGAATCTTGCGCATAAAACTCTGAGCTTGGATTTGCGGCAAACCTAACTTGGCTCTCTGAACTTTGGAGTGGATTCTGGCTACTCTTCTGCTGAAAGCAAAACCACCAAAGGGACTTTGTTGATTTTCATTTCTTCCCTTCTGCTATTATCCTCTCAGTCTTGAGTAAATTGCTTTCCTCCGTGTGTGTGTGTGTGTGTGTGTGTGTGTGTGTGTGTGTGTGTGTGAGGGAGAGAGAAAGAGAGGGAGGGAGGGAGAGGGGGTAGACCTAGAGAGATGCTCATCTCCCTCAGGGCCCTCTAACAGGTTGGCCTTCTCTGAGGTGCCTCAGGGTTACTGAGTGTTTGGAATTAAGTTCTGGGCATACTTTCCACACACTGGACCTTAACTCCTGTGAGGGTAATCACAGGGCCCCCACACTTCTCTCCTTGCTACGGTGGTTGCCCTCCATCCACCCAGATGCGACCTGCCTGCTTCCAAGACCAGCAAAGGGGGGGGGGCACAACTTCAATCCCACCTCCTTTCAGAAAGTCTGTGGAGGGAAGAACAAGGGTGAGTGCAAGGTGACTCTGCCTCATTTCCCCCACCTGCTTTAAGGCCTGCTCCAGCCGTGTCTGCTTCAGGACGGACATCTTGCAGACCGTGTCCCAGCGGCTGCTCAGCTCCTGAAGCTGCACCTTCACCCAGGTGGTGTCATCCCGGCTGTTCTCAATCAGCTCCCGGCCTGAGCGCTTGAGGACCTGGACGGTTCCCGTCCGCTTGCCAAGTTCTTTCTGGAAAACCTAACAAGGAAATGAAAAAATACCCTTGAACCAAGCTTCACTCATGGCGGCTAAATATAGTTTTCTTGCAAAGGTCAGAAGTGGTTTATTTTTTCCTTAATAAAGCTGGTCTGATGTTTTAGCAAGGCTGCAAAGTGCAGCCACTGCAAGAGGACAGCCCTCTTATTGCTGTTCCCAAAGCCCACTCTGCTCCAGCCCATTCTAGAACAGGCACGTTCAACCTTTCAGCTTGCCTGGGCTGCACTGAGTGATGCACAGAAAATATATAATGCGGTTAATGTATATAAATGAGGGGTCTTTGGTGCTCTCTGAGCTTGCTTGTTTTCTTGCAGATGTCTCAAGACCCAGCATATAATAATGTTAAAGGTTGTGCGGCTGTATTACTAGCTGTCCAGGGCCACATGCAGCCCACACCTGTTTTAGAAAGAGTGACAAAGCTGGAGGCTGGCTGCTCATTTTGCGAAGGGCCACCTCTGCTCGCCTTTTAGAGCTGAAGGGAAGGAAGCCTGCCAGCCTGCTGCTGCGAGAACGCAATGGCTGCCTGCTTCTCTCTTCACCCTCCTTCTGCTGCACCTCAGCAGTTACCTTGTGAGCGTCCATTAAATTCATGACCAGGTCCAGATCCCCGTGGACAGGTTGGTCTTCGGCCAACTGGGGCTCCACTTTGTAGAGCCAGTCCACCAAGGCCTGCAGGGCGTCCATGAACTGCCCAGAGAAGAGAAGCGCCTCTTCTAGTTTGTGCTGCCTGCAGAGAGACACGGGAAAGATGGCAGGCGTTCTCCTTGGAGCCCAAAGGGGGAATTCCCTGGCCTCCCCGGGCACATCCCTCACTAGACCTGCAATTGCCCCCTGCCCCGTGGTGCCCCCAGCAGTGGAACAGACAGAGGCCAGCCCCGAGGGCGCCTGCCACCTGCTCTCTCGCTCACCGCTCCACAGATTTGCCACAAACGGTGTCCCATTTATCCCGGACTTCCCCCAGGAGGTGATCCAGGTTCTGGGTGTCATCAGGGAAGTGAGCTTTCTCTTTCAAGGCTCTTCCGGTGCGGATAGTGGTGTCATAAACAGGCTGTTTGCCTCCCAGGGTTTTCTGGAACTCCTGAGTTTTTGACAGAAATTGTTTTTAAGAATTAGGGAAGGTGAAGCAAATCACTGCATTTTCTCTCCCTCCGTCTCTTCCAGTGGTGGCTGGAGGGAGGCTGCAGGCTGAAGAGGACCAGGGGGCTTTCCTGGGCCAGGCAGCCCCAGCCTGCCGCCTGTCCCCCCCACCTCGTGCAGCACCTCCCTGGGCCCTCCCAGCCTGCCCGCCTTCCTCTGGAGCTCTTCCTCAGCAGCAGCAGCAGCAGCCGCCATAAGAGGTGCCTGCATTTCGTTAGGCACACAGGGGTAATGTGTGGCGCCCGCTTGGGCTTCTGCTTTGCCTTCTTCCCCTCTTGCATCTGGGCCCCCCGTGCGTCCCCTGGCAGGGCCTGGGAAGCAGGTCCTGGGCTGCGCTCTGGGTCACGGGGCAGGGAGAGAGGAAGGGGGTGGAGAATGGGTGCACTGGAGAAGCCTTTCTCTTTCTCCCCCGCCCAGGTGAAGCTCAGCCTTCCCTTCAGTGGCTTCTCCTCCCAGGTCCAAAAGGGTCTGGCTCTGTTCAACCCTCTCTAGGTCCATCCTGCCCTGAACTGATTTATGTCCTTTTCCCCCTGGTTACTTTGAGGGGGGGGGGAGAATAAAAGTCTGGCAAAGGGACTGAAAGGAAGGGCAAGGGAGGAGGAGTTCCCAAAGAGGCTTCCTGGGGGAGGGGGAGGGGGAGGGCCCCCCCCCTGAAATAATTCACGATTAAGACTCTCATCACTTGGTCTCTTTGTTTCAGTTGAACAGCAGCTACCTAAGTCTTGAGGGTCTTTCTCCTCCCATCCTTTTGGGTCATGGGCTCTTGCAATCTGTTTCTCATCCAGGCCGTTGGCTGACCTAGCCTTTCCCAGGTCCTTGTTCCTCCTTGACACTTTGTGTTGTGTGCCAATTTTGACCCTTCTTGGATTGGGAGGACTCGCACCCTGGTCATCTCCCATCTGGACTACTGCAATCATTCTCTGTGTGGGGCTCCTCTGGAAAAGTATCCAGAAGCTTCAGCTGGTACAGAATGTGGCTGCGCAAGCAATTTTGACGACCAAAGGAGACACAGGTAATGGACGCCGATTGGCTTCTGGGTCTAATGCCAGGTGTTGGTGGTGACCTTTAGAGCCCTCTGCATGGGCCAGGCTACCTGCGGAGCCCTCTTCTTCCCATTGCATTGGCCCCTCCCACCCAGTCAGGAGGGAAGGTGCATTGAGGATCCCGTCAGGCAGGATCCAAGAGAGAGCCTTGTCTGGCATCACCCCACTCTTTGGAATCTTCTCCCCCAAGAGATGAGCTGGGTCCTCACCCTTCTGCCTTTCGGAAGGATCTGAAGCCCCCCTCACTCGGGGCTCACAAAGGACCCTGCCACCTTAAGGTTGGTTAGTGCCTTGAAGGCTTTCCCCCCACCTTAACTTTAATTATTGTTTTAATTTCCTCCTGGTGGGGTACAATATTTATATGGTTTTTTTATTGTATTTAATTGTAGACTGAGTGAGATGGGCGGTTTCAAGATTTAATATATAAATACACTGTAACTGGACTCCAACCTTGTGCTTGGAAAGCTGCAATTTGATTTTGTCTGGATCATTGGAAATTTCCAGCTCAGAATTTAGATGATTTTCAGCATCTTCCAACCAGTCCACCAACTTTTTCCAAGCTTCGTGGAACTAGAATGTAAAAATGTACCACCAAGAGTGAGTGTTTACATATCTGATCCCTTGTTTTTCCCAGTAAAATCTGTGTCAACGTTCGGGTTATCTTTTCCCTCTGGCATCGTTCATGGCCCAGGCACCGACTCTTCCTCGGCAGCCCTAGGAAGTAGAGTCCCACAATTCCCAGGGTGGAATTGGAGCTCCCTTTTCCAAGAGACCCAAACCAAAAGTATTAACTCCCCTTTTATTGTGAGGCTACAGAAATCTTGCAACTCTGAAAGCATTTCCCCGCCCCCACCTTCACCTTCCAGAGAAGTAAAGAGGGTCCCTTGTGAGATGCTTTCCCACCCCTCCCTCCTTCCGACTCAGAGGTGTCTTCTCAGAGGGCCCTCTGGGCTGTGGCTCTCCCTGCTCTCTCCCAAGGTTCTACTCCCACACCCACTGCATCTCCTGAAGAGACCCTTGCACCCACCGCCCATCTCCAGAAGCCTCTGCTTTGCTCCCCTGCCAGTTCTTTATCAAGCCAAAATTCCTGGCTTCCTCCCTTTTCCAGCCCTCTCTGCGCCCTTCACTTGACTGCACTCTCTCTTTCTTCCCAGGCTTGTTTTCCCTCTCCATGTTGGGTCCTCCCATTCCCTTGGGCAAGCTCACACCTTCCCAACGCTTTTCTTGTTCCACAGGGTTTCCCATCTAGCCTCAACCTTCCTTATGAGCAAACAAGCCATGCCCTCCTCGGTCTCCTCACATTGTTGCCCCCCCCCCAGCCAAGAGAATCCCCTCCCCTCGTCCCCTCACTGCTCAGCCGACAGCTTTTCATGCATTTTAACTGTGGTCCTGCTGTTAAGGTAGCAAACGTGGCATCTGGGACCATGCTGTTACTTTGCAAGTATCTAAGCTATTTTGTAAGCCCAAGTTGACCTGTTTGGCTCCCAATGAGCAGCTAACAAAGCACACTGCCCCCCGGGACACTCACCTGTTTTGCCCGCTTCCTGGCATCATCCAGAGCCCGTCCCCTTTCAACTGACCGCTGGACAACCTTCTCCCAGCGAGACTGCACGCTGACAAGGAGGTTCTTGATCAGGACAACATCCTGCTTCTGGCTCAGAAACTTCAGCTGGTTTCCGCTTTGGTCCAGAGCAATGATCTGATGCCGGTGAGCGTTTACTTCATTAGCAAAACTCTGCCATGGGTGGGTGGAGAGGAAACAAAAGATAAATCCTTCCACAGACCCTTCTTTGGAATCCTGGCATTATGGGGCAAAATCTCTTTCCTTTGGGTGAAGTGAGAGACGCCTGCAGGCAAGGCTGAAGTCCCACCCTGAGACCCTCTGGTTGACGTTCCTCAGGGCAGCCGTGAGCAGAAGGCCAAGCTTAAGCAGAAGGATTAAGGTGTGGACGGGGGCCTTGTTACAGGGTGATGTTTGGGATGCCCTTACCTTGTGCTCTTCTACTTGGGGGAGCACAGTGTTAAGGATGAGGCTTGGAGGAGAAGCAACGTTCAGACCTTGCTCCGCAAGGGTCAGCCAGTTGATGAAGTCCTGCAGGGAGTTCTGGAATTCGGTTGCCAAGTTGAGTGCCTCTTCCAGCTTGGACTAAATAGGGGACATGGTAGAGGAGGGAGGCAGAAAAAAAAGGGTGGTTGACCTTCCAGGCCAAGAGCATGGATTTTGCATGCACCTCCTCCAAGAGCAAAATGAGAATTTCATTCATGTTCTCAGTGGGGTGAATACTTTCCCCTTTCACCCCTCCCCCGCCCCACCCAGTGAAGAGTGCTGGAGAGAATCCAACTCAAAATAGCTAAGAGAAACTTTTCTATGGCAGAAAACTGCTGCAGCCCTTTGCAGCTTCCTGAAAGAAGAGAGGTCATTTATGAGCTTTGAGAAGTCATTGCATTCAACCTTTACACCCCGCTGGCCTGGACCCAATCCTGCTGCCTGTATTCAGTCACCACTGCCTGACCTCCAGCCCAGAGACCACCAGGCTTTTGTGCATGCACAAGGGAACTGCAAGGCTGCACTTTCCAAAGGATTCAGAGCAGTGTTTCTCAACCTTGCCAACTTTCAAACTCCCAAGAAAAGGCACTTGGCGTGTGTCACGCTGCTTCCCAAGGCTGAACTCATATTGACTACATCTCCTTCCGCAATCTCAGATTCCTGCTTCTCCCTCCCAGCCCTATTTCCTGACTCTTTTGTTCCACCAAACTTCAACAGTTCCTCTGTGAACTCCATGACGCCGACATGCAGAGAATCCTGTTTACTTGTATAAAGTTGGAAACAGACCTGTCAGTCAAAGAGCTGATGTGCTGCCAGAGAAAGGCCAACCTTTTCCTCCAGCGAGTGTTTGAATCATACCAATCTGAGTGCAGAAAGCAGGTGTGTGGTGTAACCAAGTCCCTTATCAGCCCTGCTCACTACCTTCCGCTCTTCCATCTTTGTGCTGACCAGGACCCATTTCTGTTCCAAGAGAGCCACACTTTGCTCCATCTTTGATCCAGATCCAGAATCATCGCGGCTCAGAAGCATCAGCCTCCCCTTTGCCAGCAGCTGGCTGTAGATTTCCTCATTTGCCTTGAACTGGGCATAGAGTTCCTAGAACAGAAGGAAGCATTTCAGAAGAGACATTTTGCAGGATTTCTCCTCAAGATAAACCACATTCTTCTTTGCCACCACTTTTTGACTCAGGGAATGTTTGGATAATGACAGAACACAGAATAACAGAGTTGGAAGGGACCTTAGAGGTCATCTAATCCAACCTCCTGCTCAAACAGGACCGCCTATACTATTCCAGGAAAATGGCTATTCGGTCTCTTCTTAAACACCTGCAGTGATGGAGCACCCACAATTCTGAGAGGCAAGCTGTTCTACTGGTTGATTGTTCTCACTGTCTGGAAATTTCTCCTTAGTTCTAGGTTGGGTCTCTCTTTGATAGTCTTCCACCTCTTACGTCTTGTCTTGCCTCAATGCTTTGGAGAATAGGTTGACCCCATCTTCTTTGTAGCAGTCCTTCTAATATTGGAAGACTCGTGTCACCTTTAATCCTTCTCTTTGCTAGACTAGACATATCAAATTCCCTCAATCGTTCATTGTATGGTTTAGCGTCCAGTCTCCGATTGCAGAGGTCCCCAACCTTTTGGGGACCAGGGATCACCGGTTCCGTGGAGAGAGGTTTTTCCATGGACCGGAGAGTGCATAGTTTTGTCTGCTGCTGCCTGCATCCCACGGATGGGGCTTTGCTTGTTTGTGTGGACTGGTTGCTGGCATGCTGCAGCCCGGTACCGGTCCATGGACCGGGGGTTGGGGACCCCTGTCCTATTGTGTTTAGCTTCCTGTTGTGTTAAGATGTCCTAAAGTGGATGCATACTATTTTCACACCTGATTGTGAGCACTTTTTTCCTACAAGACTTGAGGATTCTTGGCTAAACCACAAACTTTCATGAGGACTTTGTGACTAGACTATGTTTTTGGAAGATTTGTCTTTGTCTTGTAGACCAACTCTCTTTTGAAAAAGCCCTTTCTCAGACCGAATCCCCCCATCCACGAAGGAGTCAGCATTCAGTTGCCATGACTCACCATGTGGATGTTCAGTTGTTCCCGAGCAGTTTCTGGCAGTCCACCCGTCGGCTTGGAAGCAGACAGCTGACTTTCCATCCTGGTGAGCCACAAAAGGAAGTCTTCAATTTCACCATGGAAGCCCTGGGCCTGTGACACATGCGGAGAAGAAGGAGGGACATTTATGGGCTGGAGTGCAAGATCAGCAAGTGACGTATTTCCCAGTAAATCCAAACTTACAAAATGATACCTTGTAAGTATACAATATAACATATATAATAATATAGAAAAACAACTACCTGCAAAAGGCCCTGAAAATCACAACATTACACCCCCGTGCAAGCTCCTCCGCAGCTTTGGCCCAGCCAACGGAGCAAGAGAAATGCCACTCTCCAGACCAGGGTAGGGCAGGAGCCCTTCCCTTGCATCGCCTCCATCTTCCCAGCTCACCAGACTGGCAGACCCGCCCCGCCTACCTGCTGAAGGGTTGCCTGCAGCTGCTGCTCCCGCACTTCCGTCTTCTGCAGGACTGACTCCCAGCAGGAGTTCATGGTCTCCAGGCGGTTTCGGAGACTGCTGGCATCGTCCCCTGCACTGGATTCCAGGAGTTCGTTGCCAGCCTTGTTCACTGTCTCCACTGTGGATTGGTGGGCCAACACGTCGTTTTTCAGCACCTAGGATGGTGTTGTGGGTGAAGAAAATACGGGTGTTTGTCTTTGCCGCCCTCATTAAAAAGAGCTCAGCTGAAGGCTTTGCCTTTGCAGAGGACGACTCAAGCTGAAAACATCAAGGAGCACTTTCAAAGCAGCCACCTTGGCCTCTTCCTGCACCTTAATCTGCCCCCAGAAGCAGAGGAGAAGATGCTGCCTGGAACTGAGCGATTAGTTCTTCTACACCCAATGGGGCCCTTCAGTGCTCTGGCCCCAGCGGACTATCAGCCCCCTCTCTCAAAAGGCTGTTCACTGGCCTCAGGTGGGATTTCCTGCGGAGGGGGTGCAGTTTGAGGGCTGCAGGCTATTGAATCACCCCATGGCTAAAGATCCTGACCACTAATTGTGTAGCCTCACTACTTTCCTGATTACTTCCCAGCAGCAGGTTGATAAGATGTTAAGGTACACCGAGATGCTGGGGGGAAAAACCCCTAGGGACCCAAAGTAACTGAGTGGCTTCTGTTATTAAGCTAGCACAGGGATCTGGCCCTCAAGACCCTGAAAAATGATGTAAATCAAAGCAGAATTCTTTGCTGGGACAGCATCCCTGCCAGAGGACTCTATGCATCCCCCCCTGCTTCACTCACATGGTGCTTGGCCAACTCCACTTCAATGACTTTGGGGTCCCCGTTGATGGGCCTCTGGGAATCCAGCAGCTCTTCGGTGTGGCTCAGCCAAGCCATGAGCTCAGCCAGGGCATGCTGGAACTGGCCAAGGGCCAAGAGAGAGCCTTCCAGCTTGTGCTGTTTAATGGGGAGGAGGAAGAGAATAGAAAAAGGTTTGTTTTAACATTCAGTGCATTTTATCACACCTTTCCACCCCAACAAGTGGTACTCAAGAAGACTCACTATGATTTTTAAACAATACTATTACAAAACTAACAAACTTGTAAATAAGAGTAGCACACACCAAAATGCAAAAGTCAGGCTGAAAAATCAAACAGAAGGAAAGCTAAAGACTGACTGATAATAAAAAACGTTACTGCTCAGAAAAGGAAAGAAAACTATAAAGATTTTAAAATATTTTAAAAATATTTCATGTTCTGAATGCAGCCTCTAAACCAGTGTCTCTCAACTTTAGTGTCTATAAGATGTTCTCAACTCCCAAGATTCTGTTGGCTGGCGTATTCTGGGAATTGAAGCCCACATATCTAAAAGTGGCCAAGGTTGAAAAAAACTGATGGAAGGTCTCTCTGGTCATTTCCATCAGCTGTATACGAGCCTCAGGTGAGGATTAGGACCACCTGGAAGAGCTCTTTCTTAAGGAACCTGATCCTAAAAGGTGGGAGCTATCGCCTTAACTCAGAAATGACCCACCCACCCATCCAACCATCCACCCAACCAGCTCTGTGCCTGGGTCTTTGCCATACCTGTCGATGAGCTATTTTTTCACCCAGATTCTCCCAAAGATGCTTTAGTTCTGTCAGTGGTTCCCTGATGATGTCTCGGTCTGTCTCATCTGTGGCTTTTTTGAGCAAGAGTCCTCCCTGGTGATTCAGCTTCTCCATCTCTATTTGCTGCTGGTATACTTCTGTTTTGAATTCCTGCAGAGAGTACAAAATGAGGATGACCTTCTAGGCTGCCTCTATCACCACAGATGCCTCAAGATTTGGAGAAATGTCCTGCTTGGCACACACCTTCATCTCGTTCAGTTGCTCTTTGACAGTGCAGAGGTCTGTGCCCACTGGAGACATGTTGCAGAGTTTAATCACTGTGTTATCTAGCCAGTCAAACATAGTCTGAAAGAAGAACATGGACACAAATGAAGGAGAACCTAGTTAACCTCCATCCTGCCAAACTGTGGACTCTGAGAATCAGGACTCTTTCCCAACCGTGGCTGTTCCGAGATCTACCCCTCCTGGGCACAGAGGCCCCAAGGCTTAACTGGCTCCCAGCATTCCCTTCTTCTTAAGAATCTGCCTCCTTCCACTCTAATGACGCTACTTCTTGCACTGGCCAGGACATTGGTTCTTCAGCACAAGGCCATTACAGGTGGCACAGAGAGGAAGTTTACCTCTGCCCCCCCCCCCCCAATCCTTTGGCTTCCCATTAGGTGGAGAGGGATGGGCAATCTTCAGTCCACGAAATTTACTCATCCTCCACCAACCCAAAAGTCAAGGTTCACACTCCTGAAATTCAGCAGCAAAATGGCTGAATTTCAACTGCAGAATTGTTGGGCTCTTCCTGGCACACTAAAACTAAAATGGTCGTGCTAAGGACCTCCACAGCACCCTTGAGCCCCTTTAAGCCCAGAAAATGGGCATAAGCGACTCCACTCAAATCCAGCAGCTGCTGCTCCATTTCACTGGCTGGTTCTTGGTGTGGGAATGGCTGAGGGGTTCTGTAATCTAGGTCTCTGCATCCATTTCCTGCCTTAGCTCTCCAAATCCTGCCCCCCTCCAGTAACATTGCCAGGAAACCCCCCAAGACCAACGGGGCCAAGGGGACAGCTGCGGTCCTCCTGCCCAGAAAGATGCCCTCCCCTGGCTCCTTTCAGGCCCTCTGGCCTCACCTGCAGATTATCCTGATACTGCACTGCGCTCTGCATGGCCTCCTCCAGCTTCTCCAGCCTTTCCTTCCAGGTTCTGTTCAGGTGTTCCCAGGCACTGTTCATCTGCAAGGACAGGCAGAAATGTACAGCTCTGGCCCAATTTGCCAGAGGGTGGGCGCTGGTGACAGGGCACTAGGGCAGAGGGTCATTGGGCAGAGGTGCCCAGGTCAGTGGAGGGGGAGAGGGAGCAGCTCAGACCAAGCATCTCTGGGCCTCTGCCTGCCAGGCTCTTCCCCTTGCCTGGGCTGCCAGTGGCATGAATTTCTTGCCAAGCAGATGGGGGGGATGCCAATGCAGATGCCCATTTGGCCTCCCTGTTCCCTCCTCCCACTGTCCCATCAAAACACTTCAGTCCAAATCGTCTGAAATGACTGTCACCTACCTCATCAATGCTTTTCTTAACTTCTGGCTTTTCCGTCTCCCCACAGGCGAAAATCAGATCGGCCCCGAGGATTCGGATGAATTCCAGTTCTTCATGCAAACTGTCAGTCTCCTCCTTGATGGTCTACAGGGGAGGATCAAAAAACAGATGGGCAAAATTTGCCTACCAGAGCCACCCACACATATCTATCAGCAACTGTGTTTCTGAAATTGTGTCTACAATCAGAGTTTATTCTAGAGTGTGATGCTTGTAGATCAATCTATGCCTCTGCTATAGGAAAAAAAAATACAAGGTAGCACACAAATGGGTAAATACATCAAAGAATGGGATATTGTCAGGTTTTTCAGCAAGTCATTTTCTCTCTGTGGGTCGTTATTTTAAACCTATTATATGGATTAAACATTCTAGTTTATTCTTAGAAAAAAGTTCACAGTCTGTTGAAACAGGAAGCTAACTAGAACAATGGTTTTCTCTCCAACAAACACTGTTCCAGTGATTGTTCTGAATAGGAAACTAGAATTAAGAGGTATCCCTTCTTAAACAGCTGATGATACTCAGCTGTACATCTCCACCCCAGGCCACCCCAGGCCACCCCAACGATGCCCTTGACGTGATGACCCGTTGCCTGGAGGCCGTACGGGTCTGGATGGGGAGGAACAGACTCAGACTCAACCCTTCCAAGACCGAGTGGCTGTGGTTGCCGGCGCCCCGGCATAGTCAGCTGACTCCATCGCTGTCTATAGGGGGCGAAACTCTGGCCCCCTCAGAGAGGGCACGCAACTTGGGTGTCCTCCTGGATCCGCGGCTGACACTGGAAGACCATTTGTCGGCCGTGACCAGGGGGGCATTTTATCAGGTTCGCCTGATTTACCAGTTGCGCCCTTTTCTGGACCGGGACGCTCTGCGCACAGTCACTC